GCCACACCAGGTGACCATATAACTGTATCAGCACTTTGAAATTCTAACTGTGGTTAGCAAATTTCTCTCAAGTCTGACGAAGACCTGGGAATGCAGTGTCGAAAATTTACTCAATACATTTACTCATTTCCCGAAGGATGCCCTTCCATGAGATCACATTTCTTGGGATGCCTGCCTTTCAGTTTATTCACAAAGATCTCATACCCTTTCGTCCCGTCCTGGGTCTGAGAAACTCGCCATACCCTCTGATGGCAAAATGGCTAGCGGACCAACTGAAACCTATACAGTGTCAACTGGCACCACACAGCCTCCGAGACACCTTTGAATTCGTGGACGAGGGGAAAGACCTCGACTTGAACGTGAGGGTGATGTTTTCACTAGATGTCTCCTCCCTGTTCACGAACGTGCTGGTCACAGAAAATGCCAATTGCATCTGGGAATTCATTACGTCCGATCATCAGCACGTCGGAATTCTGACGAATGCACTCAAGGAAGTGATAATAAAATGTACCTTGAATGTACAGTTCCTATGTGACAAAATGTTTACAACCAGCTGGAAGGTGTAGCTATGGGCTCGCCCCTGGGCGCGCTTCTAGCAATTATATTCATAGGCAAACTGGAAGCTGCGCAAATAAGACACCAGATAAACAGTCTGAAGTAGAAAAAACGCAACTTACAGTACGCGCCAGAACTCACGCAACATGCTGACATATGCGACAAACTTATACTCTTTCGCTAATCGGCATTAACTCAGGTTGTGATACTGATTATCGTGTAATACTGAAGTTACTTCAGTCATGATGGGATGTCAACTTTTTAATGAGCTTCATCCTGACCACTAACAAAACGTACGTACTGTAAAAGGTAACCACTTCAATAGTATGTGTTTATATCATCGATTTTGCCTGCTTTTATAAATTTAAATTACGCCTTAAAATTTTAAACTTAAAGAAAGGGTATCTTTCGGTTTTAAAAAGGGTGCCGATTTGTCGAATAATTTTGAAACTTACTGACTGGCACACTCGAATTCAGGGTTTACAAATTGCGCCCTGTGTACATCCGGTTTAAGATAAAGTACGTTTTAGGATACAGTTTCAGGAAGAATTCACTTAGTTTTCATTAAATGTTGCAATAAGTGTGGAACGTGTTGTATGCAGTATAGGCGGCATTAATAAACTGACGGATACGATGTATTGTAATGAATACCCCAGAATCGTAAAAAGGCTCATAATTAGAAAGTTTCCTAAAACCGAAGAATATCATCTCTTTAAGCATAAAAAAGGAAGCTTAATTTGCTATCAAACGAGCATAATAAATATTTTTTCATCTACATTTTTCAATAATATATATTTGAATCAATAAAGGCCGCCAAAATCAACTATAAAAAGGCATACTATTTAAGTAGGTAATTTTTGCAGCATATACGTTTTGGTACCGGTGAAAAATAAGCTCATTAAAAAGCCGAAATCCCATCATGACTGAAATAACATCAGAATAGGCTACAAATTATCAGCATCACAACTTGAGTCGATGCTGTTTAGCGAACGAGTACCAAGCATACGCAGCTGTTGGCGTGTTGCGTGATTTTTGACGCCTACTGTGCTGTAAAAAGTAACTACTTAAAAGCTTGCGTTTTCATCATTGATTTTGACTGCCTTTGTAAATTCAAATATACAGTAGCCGCCGAAGCCCATGCAACGCTAATTTTGAAATTTGGCTGGACACTTTAGCATATATTTGAAAACACTATTGTCATTCATTCAGTTTATTGAATTCTGCAAA